TTCCATAATATTTTTTTCAACATTTCAGCATTTACAATTATACGATAATAAAATCGTCCTTCGGTAAATCAACAAAGTCAACAATATCAAATTCATTCATTCAAGAACATCCACATCAACCGTTGGTTGTTTTTTATATCAATCAATCAAATCAATCAATCAATCAATCAAGTAGTGTGATTTGTTCCACCTTTTTTCCACATTCTTCAAGACTAGTTGTTTTTTATACAAATTACATGGATCAATTTTCTCTCACACTTGATCTTCTTGAAAGTAGTAGTAATAATTATAGTAAAAATAATAATAATAGTAGTAATAATTAGTGGCGCGTTGTGTGCGAGCCTTGCTTCTTTCGCTTGATCTTCTGATATAGTCTATATCATCAAATCAACCCTCCACAGCTCGCATTAGAAAGTTGTCCGAATGAATTAAGTGCATGTATATGTTTGCGTGTGTGCATGTCATCTGTGTGTGTGTGTATGTATGAATGAATGTATGTATGTACACCTAAATACCCCATGTTAAATATAAAAATATTTTTTATCCAGATTAATAATGCACAAAAAAAAATATTCCAAGGTTCCAAATATGAATCCAACCAAACAGAGAGACTAAATGATAGTAAAAGAGAGAAAAATATGCGCGTGAGTCAACATAATCTTTTTTCCGTCGTTGTCGAGAAAAGGTGAGAGGTGAGAACGTGGATCTATCGACGATATGGGCTTTGAGAACGTCCACCTGTTCTGTAGTTGGGGCTGAACGCACGCATAGGTGGTGGTGATGCTCCACGTCCGTCTATATACGAAAAAATATGATTACATAATATTATAACTGGTTAGTCAAATCAATGAAAAATATCTTTTTGAAGTTTCCACTTACAAGTATCGGATGCGCGTCTATAATAAAAAAGAAAAGACAAACGATCAATTCAATATTCAAAAAAATTATATCGAGTCTTTGTTTATAAATGCTATGCTTACCCATAATCAGCGAAATTATTATGTTTTTCACGACGATGCTGATCTTTTTTTGTTAATCCAATATCCCTATTTTATTGTTATAGATTTTTTTTGGTTATTTTTTTTGTGGATAGATTATATTAGACGAATACATAAATACCAGTCTAATTTTAGTCGACGTCCTTCCACACTAAATCCATTATATTTATCATATGCATCTTCGGCATCTCGTCGGTCTTCAAATTCAACAAAAGCAAAGCTATGAATCCAGGATTAAAGAATTTTTTCAATTAATAAGCAAATGATAAGCAAAAAGACCAAAGAATTGATAACTAAACATTTCCTTACCCTTTGTTTCTGCCAGTATAATGATCAAGTTGAACAGTGACTTTTCTAAGACGTCCATATCTTTCAAACATGTCGGCAACATCTTGTTCACGGAAAGCATATGGAAGATTTCCCACATACAGAGTAGTTGAATCACGTCTATCTTTATCAGAGCCACTGAAATAAAAAAAATTAGCACAAAAAGAAAATTTGCAAGTTTTAAGTAAACATAATATTTATTATTCTAATCACTATAAAGAAAGTTCATCTATGTACTAACCGTTCAACAGGTTTACTTCTCCTTGGAGGACCTCTTCTTTCAGAATAAAAATGGTCACGATAGCCTCTACCATCATCTTTATACCCACCTCCACCACCGCCGCCGCCACCACGACTATATCCACGATCATATTTTTCATCCCGGTATCTGTCTTCTCTATACCTATCTTCCCGGCTAGCCCTATAGCCTCCTCCTCCCCCTCCTCCTCCTCTAGGAGGCGGAGGAGACGGACTTCTACGACGAGGTGAGTACGAAGAACGACGATATCCACCACCTCTTGGTGAGAGTGAGCGGTCTTTTCGCGAGCTATAAGCGTTTGTGGTTACATTTGAGGTTTGCTCGTGTTGCGAGGGTGCTCGAAGTGGTGATTCAGGATGGGTGTTTGCTCCGCTTGAGGGATCCATCATTTTACTAAACACACTAATTAAAGAGCTTCAAAAGGGAAATAGTAAAAAAAATAAAGGCTACGGTCTAAAATTTGTCGACCTCCGGTAGTGATGACTAATCCTGTGATTATTGATGTCATTTATAATTGGCTGTTTTGTTTTTTCATTGATCAATTGCTATCTTTATCGTTATTTAATAAATGATCAAACGAAAAATTGCTAAAATAGGATTCATTACAATGCTTTGATTCTTGATAAAACACTAAGATAGTGATTTAGAATGAAATAAATCCATATGATCTGCATGATAATATACAGTAACCAAGGGTAAGATATTGGATCTCACTTTTTTCATCTCTTTGAGTCGGTCGAGTCAGGTTTATTGACAAAAATTGGATGAATACAGATTAGGAAATAATATTGCAAATCATTAATCACATGATTCTTACTCAATTATATAATTTTTGAACATTTGATTTTTGAATTTAAATTATATTTAAAAAATTTAAAAGCTTCTTAAATATATTAATATTTAATATTTGAATTAAATTCAATTAAAAAATTATTTATTAACTTTTTTTATATTTTTAAAAATATTATTATTATAAAAATAATTTTTAAAAGTTAAATTTATTAATAAAATATAATAAATTTAATAAATTTCTATAGTAATAACTAAAAGTAATGTATCAGAAGCTTAATTTATTAATAAAATATAAAAAAATTAAAATTTTCTTTCTATATTAAAATTTATAAATTTATTAAGAAATAATTTTTATTTTTATATTAAAATAAAATTTATTAATTATAATTTAATATATATTTTTTTTAGATTTTTTAGACTTTTTCTAAAAGAGTTGTTCTAATTATAAAGTTAGTATAAAAATTTTTACTTGTTAAAAAATAAAATTTAATTAATAAAAATTTTTGAATTAACTTTATAATTAGAATAATTCTTTTAAAAAAAATTTAAAAAATACAGTCCTAACGAAAGTAGTAGCATATAACATTTTTGTCTGTATTTTAATAATGAAGTATCCAAAACTCACGAAAGTTTGTAAATATATTCTTTAGGATATTACAAACACGATTCTCTAATAGTACAAGGCATGTTAGCTTAATATAATTTTGCGGAATTTTGCAGAATTTTGTGTCAAATGTGTTGAATTAGGTATCTACACA